CATTCAAAGATGCAAGCCATGCCTGAGTCCCAGTACACTAGGAAATCACAGAGAATTAGCATTATAGTACATTGAGGTTACTAGCTTGAGATACAGATATAATCAGTTATACAGTCTACGTCGATGACGCAGGTGCAATGTTCGCCAGGTGCTGTAGGCCGGCGTGCCGCACTCACTTGATGAGGAGCAGGTGTGCCGCATTACAATGTGCCGCGAACGATGTGCCGCGTATCGAGTAGATATTCACGAAAGGTAATCATCGATATTGCTAGTTATCCTCATTTGTACATGTGCATATCTCTGGAATTTTCTATGTGTACCCACAACTGGAGTTTGTTCCACCCAACGTTCAGACTGAAGATCAACAATTAGCCAGGAGATGATGACCAACACATTCAAGAATTATGTTTTGAGATCAGGTTATAATTAGTGGAACATTTTATTTCAGGAAAATACCCATTCTCAGCCAATAGTAATCCATATTTCACTTAATTATGAATTGATGATTCTTCAGTTCAGATCAAGTCTATTATTCAGTATTAAAGTACTGAGTTCTCAAGTCATGTCATCAGTAAGTATAAGCTGATATTAAGCTTGTACGTTCAGTTTTAGTATTTTCGAGGACGGAAATATTTTAAGGAGGGTGGATTGTAACACCCCGAGTTTTATTAATAAAGGAAATACTTGTTGGCGTTATATACTTAAGCTTTGCTTTAGTGGATATTACACTTGTTATTTCTTGATGAATGAGAATTATGTTTGGTTAAATAAGTTCCACGTTCTGTTGTTTTGCATGTAGATAAGTGGGTCGTCATCGGGCGTACCGAAGATCACTATATCAGTTACTTGCGAAACAAGAATCATTGGTTCACAACCTAGATGGAATTGAACAACCCATCGGAACAGTTGTAGTGTCAACCGTACGGTTTGTCTCTACCGATTAGTTGCACTAGTACATTTATGTATTGAACAGGATCCCAGAGAGGGATGTTCGTTTTATACTGATCGTCG